TTTTTTTTTTTTTTTAATTTTATTTATTTATTTTTGGCTGTGTTGGGTCTTCGTTTCTTTTCGCGGGCTTTCTCTAGTTGTGGCGAGCGGGGGCCACTTTTCATCGCGGTGCGCGGGCCTCTCACTATCGCGGCCTCTCTCGTTGCGGAGCACAGGCTCCAGATGCGCGGGCTCAGTAGTTGTGGCTCACGGGCCCAGTTGCTCCGCGGCATGTGGGATCTTCCCAGACCAGGGCTCAAACCCGTGTCCTCTGCATCGGCAGGCAGATTCTCAACCACTGCGCCACCAGGGAAGCCCCCTAGGTGATATTTTTAAAGCTTCCCTGGTGACTCCAAGGTGCAGCCAAGGTTGACTCCACAGTCCTAAGAAGCCCCTGATTGCACAGTTTGCCCCTGTCCCTTTAGGACATGCATTGTCCTGCATTTCTCTCTTACAAAAGCCTTCTGCTTCAGCAGCAGAGAACTGGATGGTTCCACGATGTCTCCCAACAGTTTTATAGGCTGAGCACTGGTTACATCCTGAGGCCAAGCCACTTTGCCCTTTGGCCCCGAGTGTCTCTCAGTCTCAACAGCGGGCATTTATGAAACATCTGTTTATTAAGAGCTACTGTACAAAGAAGTGCACAGGGCAGCCCTCAAGGAGTTCAAGTGTAAAGGTCAGATATATGCATGGGGTGAGCCCCACATCAAGCAACCCAGAAATGTGAAAATCCAGGTTTTATAGGACAGAATATTTGGAATTCATTCTCTGTCAAAGGCTTCGTTTCAGCAGCCCTTTAAGTAGCATGCTTTCCTGGATGGTGGGGTTTCAGTTTACTGTCAGCTCTCATTATGTATCATAGTTATGTTCTATAAAGTCCCTGTGAACACTGAATTACCGTATACTGAACCACTGCTCCTAGGGGAAACACAGGGTTAGGTTCCTGCGAGCCTCTGGTCACAACGCTTTAGTCAACAGAGCAATACATAACCTCGTTTTATGTTTTATGTGTGCTTCTGTTGAAAAGCACCTTCTTTAGTATATTTTGTTGACTTGTGAACATTGAACTCATAGCCAACAACACCGTAACTCATGCCTGCATGAGGCTCATCTAACTCATGTATTTTCTCCCTAAGGCACATCACTGCCCTCCTGTGCTTAGGAACACTAGACAGCACTTCATTTTAAACAGTGAAATCACCTCCAAGAAGCACAAAAATGCAAAAAAAAAGTGGCACTAAGTAAACTACAAAAAGTACACTTGTTTACTTGTTTCTAGTTTGAGGGGTGAAGAGACAAGCCAGAGCACTGAATCATTCGACCTCCGCTGGAAGCCTGTACATCCGGCCACTCAAATTTTTTTGCAGTTCTGGGCACATCTGCACGTGAAAGTGAAAGCACCACAAGCTTGGGGTTCACAATTTTAGCAAGCTGGCAAATTCACAAACATGAAATCTACAAATAATGAGGGTCAACTATATTTGCACTTCTGTGTCATTGTTTCAGCAGCGGCAACCTGGTCTCAAATGAAATATTACACAGAATCTCAAAATATAAGACCGATGAGGGTGGAGCTGGCTGAAGCAGGGGCCCTACTCTCTTCAGCCTGCTCTTCTCCACCTGTCCCCCTGTCACCTTCACAAAAACACCATGGGACCACTCAGAGGAGAGCAGAGGCAGGGAAACACGTGGGCTGGGGTGACATAACAGCAGGGGGAGGTCAGGGGCCAACAAGCCCACAACTTTCCACAAAGGACATTGGCTAAGCAGCCTCAGCAGTGCTGGCCACAGGGGAACAGGCCTGGTGCCCCAGAAGGGACTTTTCCAAAGAAACTAGAAATCCTGGTATTAAATAAAATCTTCCAGTTGGGAAATGAGACCTCAGTTTTCTCAAAACACCATGCACGCCAGATGGAGCTTATCTCATTAGCCTCCAGCCTGTGACCTTGTTTTTTAAAGTATTCAAATTATAGTTCTGCTCACACACCCAGCTTTTCAAGAATGCACTAATTATGCTCAATTCTGCTTCTGTCTCAGCCACTCCACTGAGGTTTGTTTTTTTTTTTTTGCCGTGCTACATGGCTTGCGGGATCTTAGTTCCCCAGCCAGGGATGGAACTCAGGTGGTGAAAGTCAGATAATAACCCCTATCATAAGTAATGGTAATAAATAAGTTAGACAAGTTAAAGTTAAATGACTGAACAAATGAGAGAAAAAACACATTTTTTAAATAATTTTTAAAACCTGATCCTTTTTGACCCACCTCCTAGAGAAATGGAAATAAAAACAAAAATAAACAAATGGGACCTAATGAAACTTCAAAGCTTTTGCACAGCAAAGGAAACCATAAACAAGACCAAAAGACAACCCTCAGAATGGGAGAAACTATTTGCAAATGAAGCAACTGACAAAGGATTAACCTCCCAAATTTATAAGCAGCCCATGCAGCTCAATAACAAAAAAACAAACAACCCAATCCAAAAATGGGCAGAAGACCTAAATAGACATTTCTCCAAAGATATACAGACTGCCAACAAACACATGAAAGAATGCTCAACATCATTAATCATTAGAGAAATGCAAATCAAAACTACAGTGAGATATCATCTCACACCAGTCAGAATGGCCATCATCAAAAAATCTAGAAACAATAAATGCTGGAGAGGGTGTGGAGAAAAGGGAACCCCCTTGCACTGTTGGTAGGAATGTAAATTGATACAGCCACTATGGAGAACAGTATGGAGGTTCCTTAAAAAAACTAAAAATAGAACTACCATATGACCCAGCAATCCCACTACTGGGCATATACCCTGAGAAAACCGTAATTCAAAAAGAGCCATGTACCACAATGTTCATTGCAGCTCTATTTACAATAGCCACGACATGGAAGCAACCTAAGTGTCCATCAACAGATGAATGGATAAAGGAGATGTGGCACATATATACAATGGAATATTACTCAGCCATAAAAAGAAACGAAATTGAGCTATTTGTAATGAGGTGGATAGACCTAGAGTCTGTCATACAGAGTGAAGTAAGTCAGAAAGAGAAAGACAAATACCGTATGCTAACACATATATATGGAATTTAAGGGAAAAAAATGTCATGAAGAACCTAGGGGTAAGACAGGAATAAAGACACAGACCTACTAGAGAATGGACTTGAGGATATGGGGAGGGGGAAGGGTAAGCTGTGACAAAGCGAGAGGGAGGCATGGACATATATACACTACCAAACGTAACATAGATAGCTAGTGGGAAGCAGCTCATAGCACAGGGAGATCAGCTCAGTGCTTTGTGACCTCCTGGAGGGGTGGGATAGGGAGGGTGGGAGGGAGGGAGATGCAAGAGGGAAGAGATATGGGAACATATGTATATGTATAACTGATTCACTTTGTTATAAAGCAGAAACTAACACATCATTGTAAAGCAATTATACTCCAATAAAGGTGTAAAAAAAAAAACAAAAACCTGTTAACGGTTGAATTAGTATTAAGAGATGAATGGTGTACAGGGTCTCCAGCCAGTCCTCAGGCATCCTCTTAGGGAGTAATGAGAGTCCCCAGGGTTATTTAAATACTACTTCAAAAAGCCATGTGGAAACTGTAGTCTACAGAAAAATGGTTGCCAAAGGCTAATTAAGCAATCAAATGCCTCACTGTTGGTTAAAATTAGATCAAGCTGGTAGAAAAACACTGGTTAGACAGTAATCAAAAGCTGAGGTTGACCGTTATGTCTTTGGTTTATTTTAAATGGGTAACAGAATAATTACCTTTAAATGCAACTGGTTTGCTAGAGCTGGGCTTCCAAGCATAGGTTTAGTTTGTTTTATTCATTTTAGTGGGAAGAATCGGTGATCAAAGGGGTCTTGGATGATGATACGATTGGAGACCACCAACCTATACATCTGGTTACACAAGTTCCACACAGTCTACCAAAGGGCTTCTACACAGTTTCCAACTGGAGACATGGCACATAGTTGAAATATTATTATTAAACACATGGGCACCTGATTCATTGTCATCTATTAGGAGACCATGATAGTAAACAAATATATTCCAAGAAAAACCAAACCCATACTGCAGGATCATAGCGTGGGGTTGGTGGGGAGT